TATTAATACTTTGATATTGAATTTAAAATAATATTAGTATAAAGAAAAACTTATTCTACTAATTCTCTGACCATATATAAAAAAGATGTTTGCAAGAATTTTTTTCACTTCTAATAAAGTTTTAATACTTTTCATAAAACAACTTGAAATATAACTTCAAAAGTCATCTCTACTCTTTACTTATTGTTTACAAACTTCTTTACCTCAAAACTTGACTTCCAGTAATCAATAAAAATCAAGTAATACCTTTGATACCAATAGTAAGAAAGTTTTTAAAAAAATAATAATTAATTGTAAAATACTTGAATACTCTTTTAATCTTTGAAACAAAGGATTTACAGAGGTTTTGTTACAGTTAAAAGGCTTATTTTTTCTCTTTTAACCTATCTTAGCCCTCTTAGAGCTTTTATTTTCATAGTTTTCTGAAAAATTTTATCTACTTCAGTTTGACCCTAAATTTTTGATAGTACAAATCCTCATCAAAGATAATTGATTGATATAAAACATATTAATTTCTAAAATATAAACAAACTTCTATTTATTATATTTACATATTTTAATGATATCATCAATAATTGAAAAGAATGTTCTAGAAACATTTGTTTCAAAAAGCTCAAGTCTCTTAATAAAGACTTTCATAATACCAAAAGATCAAGTGATAGGTAATGTAAATTGCAAACTTTTATCTTTTATTTAAGTTCTTTAGGTAATAATAAAGCTTTAATGAAAAAGCTAAGGTCTAAATACTTTACTTGAGATATTCCTATCCAGTACTTGTTTAAATAAAGAAAGAAATAGTTGAATTGATTCATCCAATATCACAAGTAATAAAAAAGAAAATTTCTTCTGAGATTTAAGTAAAGCAAGAAAATTATTCTAATTGGATAGATTCCTTTTGAGAAAAGATTATTTTTATTTTTGGATTTTTTTGATAAGCCTTAAATTATTCCCTTTCTCCAATCAATTTTCTTCTTTCCCTTTTTAACTTAGCAATTCATTGGTTTTTAGGTCAATTAATAGTGACAAACTATTGACAATAATTTTGATATATAGAGATTATTATTAATCTATCAAAGAAGTATAATATTATCCTCAAAATCTGACTTAAAGTACTTATATATAAAGATGAGTTAATCACTTTATAAAAGTCTATAAATTATTATAGATTTTGTTTTAATTTTTTAATAAAGACAAGTTATTGTAACATGATTGCAAAATAAAAAAAAAGAATAATATTAATACAAAAAATAAATAGATACATGAAATAGATTATAATTTATATTAATAAAAATTTAAATAATAGAATATTACTATTTTATTATTAAATATTACTTTGAAATTATTTATAATAATATTAATATTATATACAGTATGGGATGTTGAAAACCAGAATATAAAAATTGTTTATAACTTTATAAATACTAAATAAAATTAAATAAAATTGTTCTTAAATACTTATAAAATAAAATTACTTAGAACTTATAAATACTGTATATTATATTATTCTTTTTTTTAAAAAAAAATTTATATTTATAAAAAAATTTAAATTTAAAATTAGTTATAGTAAATTATATATATATATATTTATTATGATTTAATATAAAAAATTATATGTATAAGAAATTATGAAAAAATTATTTTTGAATATAAAATAATAAAATTATTTATAATTAATTTCTTTAATAATTATATATTTTTTATTCTTTTGTTTTAAAAAACAATATATTAACTTTTTATAATATTTAATTAAATTTTGATAAATTTGTATATAAAAACTATTTTAAGTATATCTAAATTTACTTTTTTAGATTAAAATTTGAACTCCCCCAAAAAATTTTTTTTTGTAAATATTTATTTAAAAATTTTTATATTTTTTATTCTTTTGTTCTTATAAATAATATTTTAAATTTTTATATTATTAGTTCAAAGCATAGTGAAGGACTACATACTTTTAAGCATAGGCATGAACATACAATATCATCTGTCACGTCGCATATATCAACCAATCAAATCATAGGATTATGTGTACACACTTTTTCACATTTGATCAGAATTAATTTATTACCTATTACTTATGATCAGAATCAATTTATTACCTGTTACTTAAAAAAACGTAAAATTATGGTAGTAGTGATATAATTAACAGTATGTATATTTAAGGTATATTGATTGCATGTTTGTAATGAAGAATGATAAAGAAACTATTTAAAATAAAAAGACAAATATAATTAAAGTAAGCATTACGATGTGTATTACATCATACAGACTGGAGCAACTTGATTAAATGATCACATATGCAGACAGACATTGCATACAGTAAACAAACTCTGATGGAAGTGTCTTATACTAACACTTTATAAATTATCACACATGTGGACAGACATTGCAAACAGTAAATAGACTCTGATGAAAGTGTCTTACGCTAACACTTCAAACAATAAAATTACATCACAAAGTGTATGACATTGTTAAATTGTTTGAAACGAATAATAAATAAAAAAATAAACTTATTATATTATATTAAGTCTATCTAAATTATTAACATTATGTGTCTTCTAAATTATTACTTGACTTATACATCGAATTAATTAAAAATAAATAAAAAAATGGCCAGTCAACAAGCTCCAATATATAGTAATACCCTTTGAAAATGTAGAAGCAAGAATAATAAGACTCCATATCATGCTAAGGTGCATTACACCCGTGACCATGAAAGCAAACACATGAAAAGAGCTGCAAAAACCAACAGACAATATGAAGCATATCTGGTAAATAATTGTGAACAAAACTACAAAAAAAGAACAGAGTATGTTTTACAGGATAATAATATAGAAGAGCAATTACAAGAACAAGATACCAACACTATCCCACTTTTAGCCACTGATAAACTTGTTACAGTTTTGGATACTCAATGGCTTTCTGAATCAGATCAAAAGTTATTAAATAATTTTCATACTGAGATGAATAAACTAAAGCATAGAACTTGCCCCATATGTAATGAATGCTTTCCATCTATTAATCTTGTTAAAGAAGAATGTCATCACTGCTATTATAAAAAGAGTATAATAAAGAAGTTTTCTAAAGAAAATGATATGGATCCAGGAAATGTATCTAATAAACTCCAGGATCTTACTAATATTGAAGAGATGCTAATTGCACAGATATTTCCTATTGTTTCAATATATTGTCTTCGTGGAGGTTAGTATACATACTGTGGAAATGTTATTAATTTCTCTTAAGATATAAGTGAGTTTATAACATGACTTTCTCACAACCCATCATTATTGAATGTGCTTATTGTGCATCATCAATCTACAAGCAAGTCAACATTCAGAGATTTTAATATTCGTTGTGATAAGGTTGCTTATACACTTTGCTGGTTGAAGGCAAATAACTATCACTATACTAATGTTATTATTGACAGTAGTGTGTTGCAATTATTACCTAACGATAGTCCTATTGATGACCAGCTATCACAGCTTGAGAATACAGAAGATGAAAACTTGAATGATAATGATAATGAATTTATGAACACGATTACATATAACTTTGTTTCTGCTCCTATTCCATCCTGTAGTGAAGAATGCACTATTGATGACACCTTTTCTCGAATGCAAACTGATAATACACTTACAATATGACTGAATATAGATAATAATTCTATCAATGAATTTGAAACACCAGGATATAATAGTATGCACCTTCCCAACTTTATACTATATCTGATTAGTAGTGCTGATCTTCATGCAGTGTATGTCAGAGATATAAAACAAGCTAAATACTTCCAACATTTGCTCAAATATAAAGATAGAAAATTTGTGTGTCATGCCTGATAGAGATATTTTGTACTAAATTCTCAAATAAGATGGAAAGCATTGCAAGAGGAAAAAGTTTATGTTAAACAAAATCTAGGTGATCAAAGGCTTACTGTCGAAGAAGTCTAGGAGATGATTAGGAATAATACCCATATGGCAGATCAGGTTATATGATTTGGAGAGGGATTGCATAGAACTTGATAGTTTTGGACTAGACGACATCTTGAGCTATCAGATATAATCAAACAATTAGGATCGCAAGGAATGATTTTTTTTACATTTAGTGCTACAGATCTATATTAACCAGAGCTTTATAAGCTTATACCGAACTCTGTAGAAAAAAACTCAGAATAGGATGCAGTCAAGCACCGATGCCAAGACTTAATTGATAATTCTCACATTGCTGCATAGTTTTTTGAAAAACATTTTAAAGTTTTTTTTTAGAAAAAGTATTAATACCTAAGTAGAAATTAGAAGATTGGTGGTATAGATTTGAATGGTAGTATCGTAGAAGTGCACACATATATAGTATTAGAAAAAAGAGGGATGCAATAATTGAGTGGAAGAGAATGAAGGAGAATGATGAGTTAATGGCTAGGGTAGTGCAATATTTTGATTCATTGGTTACTACAATTAATCCAGGACTTGATGCATCTATATCTAATTGTCATTATTGTCAGAAGTATAATAATGAGCTATGTGATGATTTGCAAGATTATATTGAGCTAACTAACAAACTGCAATGGCATATATGGTGTAATCCTTCATACTGTCTTCGCATAAATAAAATAGATAAACAATATTGTAGATTTGAATATCCAAAGAAGAACACAGAACATATCTTTATACATGATAATTGTGGTCAACCAGAACTCATCACAGCAAAGAATGATCCTTGCATCAATCCACATGACCAACTTTAACTTCAGGGTTGGCATACAAATGTTGATCTAAAACCTATATTTAGTACTCATACCGCTCTGCAATATATTTGTAAGTATACAAGTAAATCAAAGCCACGATCTGCAGCCTTCTCAATGTTATTGAATCAAATTATTCATAATAGTAAGCCTGATGATTCATTCCTTAGTGTATTTCAGTGGTTATTGCTTTATACTGTCGCAGAGCGTGATATCTCTGTACAAGAAACATGCCATCTACTTCTTGGTATTCTGCTCTATCATTCTAGTCACCAGTTTGTCTCTCTAAATCTAAGTAAGAAAGCACCTAGGTGGCTTTATGACACTGGAATAACAAATGAGAAAAATTTTGTAAATATCAATGAAGTTGGAAAAACAGTACAATTACCATTACAAATATATTGAAATTGATCTACAGATCTTGAAAATTATTCTTTATTTCTACTTTATCTACAATACAAATTTTATAATGGTAACTTGAAGCAATATAAACAGTAAAACATTATGCGCATTTGCATGACTATCACCTTATCACAATGGCCCTCAATGGAAAGAGTTCTGTCACATAAAGGTCTTATTCCATGTTTGTCATCGAGACTTTCAACAGCTAATTGAGAATGGTATAATTTCATGATCAAATCTTTTTAATCATCATTTTACAAAAATTAAAAGTGAACCTGATATTCTTGGTTATCCTATAGAAAGGTTAAATAAATTTGTTAGTAAAAAAGAAGAGGAAGAAGAACAAGAACAAAAAAACAGTGAATATAAAGAATATATACAATCTAACTGATAGTTCTAGTAGAGATGGGTCCGAATACAATTAATGAGAATTTCTCTAACTTTGATTTATGAGATATTGATCAAAATTATGATTGGGTTGATAATGTTAAACAATGCTATCCATATCTTAATCTTGCAGATGTGGCTATTTTTGTACAGACTTATAACAGAGATACTATTATTATCAAAAGCTTAGATACTAGTATCGTTAATTATAACCTTAAATGAGAAACAAATGACAATATTTAAGTGAATCGAGTCACATTACAATACTATTATCACAGGTAATAGTCAGATTGAGCAGCTTCTAATTATTATAATGGAAATAGCTGGAATGGAAAAATTATACTTAATTCAAATAATCTGGGATCATCTTTATAAGATGGCGAGAAATCATAATACTGAAATCAAATCATCGATACATATACTCACATCAACTGGAGTTGCAGCATTTAATATTAATGCAACAACAATTCACTTAACACTCTCTATTCCAATTAATGATAATAACTTTAACATAGATGGTGAGTAGTTAAAAAATTTGTAAAAAAGATTATCCAGATTAAATTATTTCATCATTGATAAAATGAGTATAGTTGGATATCGAATGCTTACTTTAATTGATATATGGTTATGCCAAGTCTTTCCTGAACAACAAATCAGCTTTTTGATGATCAATCAGTCATTATGGTTGGTGATTTTGACCAGTTTCCACCAGTGCATAATAGTTCTATATACACAAAAGTTTTTCAACGTGATTCATTATTAAATGATGGAATTGCAATATATAGACAGTTCAAGGAAGTATATAAGTTAAATATTATTTTGCATCAATGTAGAAATTCAGAAAAGCAATTTAAAAGTATTCTGTTGCGACTACGTAATGGTGAATCCACAATAGATGATTGGAGAACACTTACCACTTGATTTATTAATGCACAAACCATATCTGTGAAGTATGAACAATTTTAGAATGCCATATACAGTATATACTTCTTCGAAAAATTGATATTGATGCAATTAATATTAGCAAGCTTAAGTTTTTAAATTGTCCTGTTGCTAAAATTCATGCCATATATATAGGTGGTTACGAAGTATCTAAAGCTGATTCTGATATAGCAAAAGTTCTTGAAGCACAGCTGTTACTTGTTAGAAATACACGTATAATACTTAGAGCTAATCTATGGACAGAAGTAGGATTAGTTAATAGTTTATTAGGAACTATCTATAATATTCTATTTGAAAATAACCAGGATCCACCTTGCCTTCCCAATTCAGTTCTTATAGAATTTGACCATTATACTAAACCTACTTTTATAACCATAGAAGGCAAAAAACTTGTATCAATTCTACCTATTCGATATACCTAGAAAGCAAAAACTGGCACTTGTTCACGTATGCAAATTTCTATTAACCTTGTATGGACTGTTACAGTTCATAAGAGCCAGGAATTAATATTACCAATGGTTGTAATAGATTTTGGAAAAAAAAAATATACTGCTGATCTTTTATTTATAACTATGTCTTGTATAGGTACTCTTAAAAATATTTTTTTTAAGCCATTCTCATTTGAAAGACTTCAATATATTAAAAAGTATAAAAGATTATAAGAAAGAAAAGCTGAAGAGAAACGACAAGAATCTATGATATCAAAATCTTAAAAAAAAATTTGCTATAATTGTTATATCATTAATAATAAATTACATAATTGATTTTAATTTAAGTCATATAATTAAATAATAAAAATAAATAAAAAACTCTTTCCGCTAATCCTTCTTTTTCCTAAAAATTTTCTTTTTTGGCAATTTTTTTTGAAAAAGTAAACCTGGTCAAATACACAAGAAAAAACAACATATCTTTCAAACCAAGCTACCAAGCTTTAGTAACACACATACAACAAGTCCTTCAGAAACATCAAGGAAAGATGTATACATTGTTTTACTAATTTTCTTTTACTTCTTTTTCTTAAAATTTTTAGGAAAAAGAAAAGATACCTGTAAACTGATTCATAGTCAAAAAAAGGGAGCCAATATCAACTTCACACAGCTTACAGCCAGGCCAGTGCAGGTTAACACCTTTCTTGACACTGTAAGAAACCCAGGAAGCAACTAAGTTTACTCGATAAATCAAGTTACTCCAGTCACTCAAAGGCCCAGAAGGATATCAAAGCTCCCCAAGGACAAGACAGTCTAAACGTACATGCACACAAAAACAATATACCTATCCTCCATCTTGTTATATGAATACGATCACGTAAAAGTTAATAAGCAAAACAAGTATACACATAAAAGCGACAAATAAAACATATACATACACGTATAACTCATGGTCCAAACAAGTTGATTGACATTACACATAAACATAACAACAACTCGCAAAATTTGGATAGGATCTTCAATATCAACAAATAAATATATTAAAACAACACAACAAGGTTTTTCCATATTCCCTAATCAAAAATATAAACAACAACAACCTCAAAAAGGTTTATTCGTGATCCAAAGATAGAATAACTGACAAACATAAACAAACAATCACGTGATCTATTAACAAATCTAAACCAATAGCAGATATGAATAGAGTACAATGTATATTACAGATTGTCAGCAAAAGAGAAGAGGATATAGTAAACACGTTAATCAACCTCTCAAAAAAACATGATGAACATTTTACTCTATGGGCTTCACAAAAACTACTTAAACAAAGAAACTATAAATTCAGTGGATCAAAAGTCTCGTCACCAGAAACATATACCATCCTCAATAGTATTATAACTAAGACACTAGGAGTAGACATGATAACCTTTCATAAGGAACAAATCCTAACTCAACATATCATATATCTTTGGCAACAAGGTAAAGGGATTAAAGAGGATCTCCTACAACCCTTCATTGAAGATAAGCTTATGGAAATTATCAAGAATCCTGAAATTCAGTATGAACCAGAGCGACAACCAATGGAGATTGTCGAACAAATAGATAATGAATCAACAATAGACAATTAAGTAACAATGATATATGCACAGGAAATCGAAGAACTGAAAGCACAAAAACTCCAAGAAACAGTAAAAAGACAATGTATTAGTGAACATAGCTCTTACATGACTAGAAATAGAGAC